CATTTTATGAATGCATGTAAATTTTTTATATTATTATTATTATATTTTTTTTATTATGGAATGTATTAGTGCAGTTCTCAAAGGCCAGTTACCTTTAATTAATTGTCATGATAAAAGCAAAGGAAAAAAGACGGAACACTGTAGATGCGTGCTTAGATCCATATTGAAGAAGAATTTGATTGCGTAGTATGCTAGTAATGCTAACTTGGTAATATCTAAAGAACTTGGCAGTCGAAGCAGTTTTAATTCCATTTTTATTTCCAATTGATATTTGTGGCCACAATCACTTGGCACTCTAGTCGTGCCTTTCCACAGAAGATTTACATTTTTGATATTGTTGGGATAGAAAGCAAGCCAGCGAAATTACATTTTAGCACGGTAGAGAGCAAAAGCTGAAGTGCGTAGTTATGCAAGATGGAGGCACGCGAAGAGAAAAGTTTTGGTTTAAGAGGACAATTTCAGTTCCCAATGATTACGTCATCAGAGCTGCGCCGATCATAGAGTGATCTAGAAATGACGCAATGCAAAGAAGTTATTACGATTTTAGAATAGAGAGGAAGAATTAATGTTTATAGTTTAATCTATAATTTTGATTCATATATTTTTATCTTACATATATATATATATACACCGGGTAACAGAGTGGGGAGCCGGTACCCACTCTGTTAATTATGCACCAACTTCAGTTCTTTTTTGCTGAGTGGGACTAAAAGTAAAACCTGCATTCTGATAGGAATGTATAGTAATATTAACGTTATAACATATCGTTATTTCTACTTCCCTTTAGCTTGAATCTCGTGCGTTTTTTTTTCATGTCTTTGCTACTCGTTATCATCCATAAACAATTAGAGAACGTGAATGTATAGCTGGCTCAACGAAATCATAGACTGAATGTTAGTTCGTGTTTGCTCCGATGTGATTGGTCGCTTATATAAGCTGGTAAAGAGTTCAACAGTTAGAAGGGAAAGGTTTGGCGTGACCTCAGCAGGTAGTTTGCGACTGTTTGTCTTTCTTAAAAAGACGAAAACTATCACTACGTGTACAAATCCATTTTTTAAAATTTAGGAATCATTCTCTTGAACGCACTGAGGAAGGGAAAAACTACACAAGTATTTTTTTAATTTTGCAGAATCTGCCGTTAAAATGCTAGGGGGTGATGCGGAAATACTAGAAAGCACATTGGATAACTGAATATCCGAAAATTAGAACACAATATTGAAGATAAATTCACGTCTGTTTTTTTTATTTTTCAGCCAGTGCTATCCCAATTCATACGAGAATGCTCTGTGAAATAATTTTGATAACAAAATGTGACTTTCTGCTAACTATAAGGAAATCAAAAGAATCCCAGTTAAAAGACTGCACGTAATGTTCACATACTGCCCTCTCTGATTGAGAAATTAAGCATGATAGTTCTATTTTAAAAGCCATCAAGATTGAGTAACGTATTTGGTCTTGGTCCAAACAACGGAAAATGAATGAAAACTCTGACTTGTGCCATGACACCTTTTATTCAACATGGAGAAGTGAATTACGAAGTTTTTTTTTTTTTTTTTTTTTTTTTTTTCTCGCCTTAAATCTCCCCTCTATCTTTGCCAAAAAAGAATAAAACTTCAGAATTTTTAATTTAAGAGGCTTGTCTAATATTTATTTTGCACTTTTCTCAATTGATTTGATTATGTGGATTAATTTCATGTCTGTGTGCGCAAGGTATTAAAAAATTGTGACTACTGTTTTTCTTTTTGAATGTTGTTTCTAGATGTATAGAGTATTTCTCAAAAGAAACAACTGCTAATTCTTCTGGAATTTGTAACATATCTTGCCAATGTAGTTAGACATTAATCAGCTAAAGTAGAAGAGCGAAAGACTTTCACTTTAAGGAACACTAATCAAGTTCAAAAAAGGAAAAATAAACAATTCTTCGATAGTTAGTCATTCCTGAGCTTAATCACAATTCGGCATTCATTCCTAATGAATTTTTAAAACTTTCAGAATTCTATAATCATACTTTTCCACGCTTCGCTACTATTTTCTTTGACATAAGAAGCTATGTTTATTTTCGTTTTACTCCCTCCATTGTTTTCGATATAAAATCTTTATCGAAGGTCCCATTTTTGACGTTTTGATTTCATCTGAAAAGGAGGAAAAGATGGATCATTGACAATTTTATTCAAAATTTACGCTAAGTGGAAATTGTTTTGGAGGTAGGGGATAATTTTACATTATACGTTGGCATATTTCTCTTCAAATTTGACTGTCTCAATGCTGTGGATGGGATGGTTACTCAAAAACCCACAGAAAGTAAATTCTGGCTTTTTATGTATGTCCTGTGGAGTAAAATTACCATTTAATAAAATATTCTCGCTTTGATAAGTTGATAAGTTTGTAAGGTATTTCTCCCACCTTCCTAGCGTGCCTTCGTGGTGTAGTGATTCTGCACACTGGTCCGTTATTCCAGATGTCCGAGGTTCGATTCCCAGCGAAGGCGTTGCTTGTTTTTCATCTCGCTGGCTTGTCCAATTAACCTAATGTCTCTACAAGTTAAAAAGAAAAGTTCCATGTTCTTATTTAAAAAAGGAACGGAGATATTCCAAAATCACCGTTCCTTTTTTAAATAAGAACATGGAACTTAATTTAGTTATTTTGCTCTGCGTTACTTAATTTTATTCCAGATTTTTGAAAATAAATTTAGGGAATAGTTAAAAAATAAAAGTTAATTTTTAGGTAATTAGTAGTGTTGTGTGAAACAGCATTCATTCATCACTGAATTCATATCTTTCCCCTTCATTTCCGATAAAAAGCGTTTTATTTTTATTATAGAAAATGAGCTCATTTCCCCCTTCTTTTCAAGTAAATTGAAGTTACACTTCGGATAACAAAATTTCAGTTCCTATGTCATTTATCTTATGAATTTCCGAAAATGATCTTTTGATTTTAAAACTGCACATGAACATTCAATTTTTGAAAATCTACAGTATTTTGTAATTTTAGTATCAAAATACAGCATAAATATAGAACTACCTAAATTTAAATAAAATATACTTTGCATAGCTAGGCATTTACTTTATAAAATACACATACATCTAAAGATCGGCAGAAAACTTTTAGTCTCTGAAGTGACATCTAATGTCTAAAGTATACCGGTATTACCCGATTCACCAGAAACGTGTTTTAACTCCAAATAGTAAATGTTTTGGGGAAAGTACAGATGGTTCTATTTATCCAAAAATATATAATGATAAAAAATTAATTGCTGAATGACTATAGACGGGCAACTAAACACATTTAAGCTTTTAAGAATGCAAATTTATTTTCAACTTTTAAAAAAAAAATCAAATACTGTTTCGTGAGTCCTAATGATCCAATCACGGAATGGTAGTACAAAACATAAAATGAATAAACAAAGAAAGTAGATAATATTCTTTATGTTAATGCAAACTAGTTTAAAAACTATTTGATATGAAAATTCAGATAGAAATAAAGGAAATTTAGTCTTAAAAAGGGTGAGAATGTAGGATATTATAAAAAAAATTAGAAAGATGCAAATGATTTAGATATCGCAATAAAAAGTACAGCATAAAAAGTCAGCTGCCTTCAACAGGCTTTGAACCACGGATATTATGATTAATCGTGTTAATCGTTCATAGTACGACAGCAGATACCGAAGAATGCAATAATACCTTAAAAATTTAATATTAGACCTTATAATAGTATAAAATTAATGAGCTTTCATTTGTGTCACAAAACAAGTGTGAAAAGATAAAAAAATCTGAAAGCTTTCAGATTTTACATTACGCCCAAAGGGAATTTTTTTAACCTTTTGTGTGTTACCTCATATCATGTTCTTCCCAATTAAACCATAAAATTCAGTTTAACAGCAATATCGCTAGCTAATATTAAAATGAGCATATCTTTAGAATTTCTCATACACAGTCTCGCCCGCTGGAGATAAAAAAGTTTTTTTTTATTTGCAGTGTTGCCACTGCTCGCTTTGAAATCGTTAAGTTTGTTAATCAAAAATTCGTTAAAGTTTTACAAAATATGAAGTAGATGAAAAACGAATTCCAAATTTGGGCGTCCAGATGCCCAGATTCGGGTGGAAACGTACGTTATTCAAAATTTGATGGCTCAAGGTACCGCTGTTATATCACAGTGCTAGAAACATACACACATTTATGCAGATTCTTCATTATTTAATTTCTTTAAACATAATACATGGCTCTAATATTTGGTGGCAACAATTTGAAAAGTGAACCGACATTTATAATGAAGCAACGCAAAATGCTAAAACTAAATTAATAGTCCTTCTGGGAAAATTGTCCCTTTGGACTAAAAATAATGGGAGAACTTTCCAGTTGTCAGTAGTAATTTTCATTGGAATACTATTGCTTTATATTAGTTTTTATTAAGGTCAGCGACCGATATTACACTGAAAAGGCCATTCTATTGGTACTATGGTAGGGCAGCCGGCTGCCATAATCTTAGGTCGGGATTGGAATCTCTGAGAAGGCGTGGATGTATAAAACTATAGATGTCTTTGGACATGAAAGCACTTGAAATATTGACACGAACGTTCTCGTGATACTTTGGTGACTCAGGAAAGACAGCTGAGAGACTATGGTATCGGCGGAGTTGGGCGAACTCATATTGTCACCTACAAGGTACTTAAGGTACACGCACAGCCTCTTTCCTCTTGGGAATGTTAAAATTTGTGGACCTGGTCAGGTTGCAGATTGGGAACAGAAGGATTATTAGTAACAACACCTAAAAGGAGTTGGCGGAGATAATACATGCACAGTTGAAACTTTCATGGGAATCCAAATCACATTGCTGGTTTCGGGTCAGCAATGAGCTTTTGTCAAAGACCATATCATCTAGAGCAACGAGATACATTACATGTTTTATATCCAATAGTGATCCCCAAGGTTTTGTTTTTCAAACAGGTTTCTCCAAAGAATGGCAACTCATGTTATATGAAAACTGTTGAGGAGTGCAGTTACCTGGTTCGAGATCTTCATTAACGTCTTCATCCGAGGAATGAAAGGAAATGTCATCTTGATACCAAGTGGGACTTCCCGGATGACGTATGGACCCGCGAGTTTCGTCAGAACAGCGTCTGAAATTGCCAGAATCGCAATCATTTTTTATCTTCACAGATTCCTTTCGTTCACTGCAAAAGCAATAAATCTTGGTCTTGACATACGTATAAAAATTAATATAAAATGTTAACTTAGAAGATCTGTTAGAAGCCCTTAAAATTACTACATTAAATACACTGTGAATTAATTATACTGTGATTAAAATACACTGTGAAATAAATAACAAATAAATATCTGTGAGGTATGTAAATGAAACATATAAAACCATTCTTTGAGAAAGATTGTTCTGCAGTGTAACCAAATTTCTTATTTTACAATAAAAATATGGGATAAGGTTAGAAGCATTTGATTAAAAACTACAAAATCAAAGCATCTCATAACAATCCAATTTTATTAAATGTTTTTTAGTCATTTAAATATTTTGCCATTACCAGAAATTTAGTTTATAAAATTAAATTAGTATACGTATAGCTGCTCTTAGAAAAGACTTTGAGCTTCTGTAGCAGAATTTAATAGAAGAATTCTGCATATTCTCTTCACATCTTAAGCTTCAGATCATATCATATGAAATCATCATCTACTGCATGTCTTTAGAAATTACGACAAATCAAGTTTTGTTTACTTCATTCTAAAAGTCTCAGATCAGACTTTGATTATTCGAAATGTAATATTTTGTAATTTCCCCAATTTAAACTCGAAATGTAGAATTAAGTCGATGTTATTTTTTCTTGCTAAATCAAATTTTAGATTAGTTAAATTTCCCCTTTCTTAAGCGAAGTTTGACTGCACCTTTTAGCGTTTATGCAGTCACCGATGTGTGGAAAAAATTTTGAAGTGATTGGGTCATTCTACATTTGCTCTTAAGTAAGCCGCATTTCCATCGATGGAGATAGAGCTACGGAGTTAATTGTTTCGGAAGCTGAACCTAGTGATTAAAAGGTAGTAAGGTATTCAATATCCGTTAAGTACGTTTTGTGTTCCATCTCAATTCCAGAGCCACCAATATATCCTATGACTATATTTTGCACATAGTATAGTAATTTAGTAATCGAGAAAAGTGTGCTGTGGAAGGAGCTAATCCAGTTAAAATGAAGGGAGTGTGAGACCTTTGCGTTGAAAGGGTGCATCTTTGTTAACTCAGGTAAGATGAGAGCTGATAACAGGAATAATTGCTTCGAAGAATCCGATCAGTCTTCGTTATTCTAATTAATGCTGCTACCTCATATTACATTTACAAACGTAAAACCCAATTTTTTCCAGAAACACATTGCACGAGAACACGTTTAAATGGCAGCCTCAATATTGGAGAACGACAGTAACACAGTTTCATTCGCTTATATCTACCATTTAATAGCAAAGAAGAATCACAAGGCCTAATTAAGTAAATTTTGAGGAAGACAAAATTTCTGGAAAAATTGTGTTCGATGAGGCGAAGGAAAACTGCAGTCCAGTCTGATAGCAGTATTGCGACGATAGCACTGTTTATTAATGGCTATTGCAGATACCATATCATTATCGTATAGGAATAAACTACGGAAATGTTGATTCGTAGACCAATGGATTAGCGACCAATCCACAAGGTCGTATATTACCCATTGCTAAAATTGTGATGCGTTTTGCTACCATGGCTAAGCTGCCACTGGGAAATCTAAGCTCAAGTTTTAAATAGGTCAAGATTACGAGTCTTAAAATAACTTGGATTTATCTTAGTCGTTTTCATCTCTAAAAATGAGAGTTTTACATTTTAAAAATATACATTATCACACAAATGAATCGCAATGAATGTAAACTAATATAGCTACACTGTCATTTTGAAATATTTTCTAAAGAAATGGAACTGCTTAAATTAGTCAACACAAATGCTTTACATTACCTTTCCCATCCGAATGCCTCTTTGACTTTGGACCATTTCGGGAATATTCTTTTAGATTTAGTATCCTCGCACGCATCTTCATGTCCAACACTTTTGCTTCTCTCTCTCCGCTGGCCTCCAGTACTCTGGTGTCGACTTCTGCGACTGAGGTACTTAGAAGAACTCCTAGAGGTGATTGTTACGTGAGATTCTTCCTTCTTTGGGCAGAAAGTCTCAGTAGCACTTTTCGTCAGTTCGTAAGGACGGCGCTTGTTGCTTAGAGCATCCTCTGAGCTATACTGAGCATCTTCGTTGATCTAGAGCAAAAGATGTTATCATTTAGAATCACTGCTTCGTCATAATTTGGTACGAAAGTGTTTTAGTTATTAAGTTATTTGTTTTCTAAAGTAATTTCATATCTTTTGCTCTTTGTTTTGTTAGACATTGCTGCCGCAGAGGTATCGACCGCATTGCATTGTTAACGGAAAATGAATGTTAAGATACAAAAATGTGTTTCCACAAGAATTTTGAAAGGATTGCAATTGTGTTTAAAACATGGCCTGTTTAAATATCTCTTGAAAGATTCCCGCAGTCCTATTAATTCAGTTTAAGAATTAGTTGTCTTTCAGACTAGGAAAAGTATCATCACGGAACACACAAGTAAAAATAGAAGAGAAATAAGACATTGCTATCCATTTACATGATGACCATTTTCATGTTTGGTTTTGTTAATTTCGCTGATTTGTAACTTTCTACCACAAACACCACAGAAATAGAATAAGTCTTTAGCCTTACCTCTGTTCGTTTGATTTTACATGGAACTCTGGTCACGTAGTTTTATATTTTCGTAGTAACCAAAGCAGCTTACCAATGTAGCAGATGCATGGTACACTCATAATTAGCGGCCTTCCTTGGTTTCTCATGTTCTTTCGCTGCAATTTCTCTGCATCCTTCTTCACACCAATATGTAGTAAAAATATTATGATATCGTTATTTATGACAGTGATATAGAAATGGTTAAGCATCAATATTCAAATATTTCTTATGTAAATATTGCAAAATATGCTTCATAAAAGAGAGTTTGTCAGGTAAAATAGCTGGATGCTTCTGACGGAATTTTAAATTGGCATTTTTTAACTTACCACCGACTCGTAATATATCATCATTATCCAAAAAAGGATACGAATTAAGAATGCATGAATTTATAAGTAACGGTTTCCTGGCATTGTTATATTTAAATTCAAGAGCAAAACGTATCGCTTGAACTTGTTTAACATACACTGGTGTGCAAAAATTAAGGACGAAGTCGAAAAACTAGCATATCAGCTGAACGAAGAGGCAGAGCGGACAGAAAGACCAATCAGGAGATTAAGTAAGGGGATGTACGGTAGCACATGCGCAGATATGCAGGTAGACGTAATGGGGGAGTGTCTGAGTAGTATAAAGCATGTTCTCGGTGTAAGGTCAGTATTTATGGCAAAGAGATTCCACGCCGTATAGCAGTTAAAATCACACCGAGTTGCTGCCTCAGCGAGAAATGGCGAATAATCAATCTGTTAGACGACATCTGGATGCTTTTACCCGAGGTCGAACCATTGGGAAGTTCGAGGAAGGCCGCAGTATGACAAGTGTGGCTGCAGAGTTCGGAATTGCTCACAGCATCGTTTCACGACTTTGGGGACAATTTCAAACTACAGGAACAGCTATCCGGGGGTTTAGCAGTGGTCGTCAACGAGGAACCACACCCGTCCACGAGGAACCACACCCGTATATTGCCATACAGGCCAGAAAAAACAGGCGGCAGACAGCGGGAGAAATCGCTAGACACACAACACAGGCGACTGGACGACCGATATCGCGTTTTACCGTGGCCAGAAGACTGCACGCTGGTGGTCTGTTTGCATGTCGCCCTGTACGGTGTGTACCTCTAACGCCTGCCCATCGGAGAAGGCGTTCTCTGTGGTGCCGGGGAACACCGGAATTCGCGAGACAATGAATGGGGACGAGTACTCTTTACAGATGAGAGCATATTCAGTCTGAGTAGCGATTCTCATCGCATACTCATCTGGAGAGAGCGGGGAAGCCGTAATCATCCCTCGAACATCATTGAAAGGGACAGTTATGGAGGTGGCGGTGTTCTCGTTTGGGGAGGCATCATGCTTGGTAGTCGTACAGATCTTCACATCTTCGACGCAGGTTCAGTCAACGGGACCCGTTATTGTAAACGAGATTCTTCTTCCATATGTGCGTCTTTTTAGAGGCGCTATGGGTCCGCAGTTCCTTTTCATGGACGACAATGCACCATGTCATCGCACAGTAGCTGCCGAACAGCTCTTAGAGAGTGAGGATATTGAACGTATGGATTGGCCGGCTCGATCTCCAGATCTCAATCCCATCGAGCATGTATGGGATTTTCTAGGCAGACGCTTGGCAGCTCGTACCTTAACACCAGTAACGATTCCGGAGCTTCGATTGGCGCTGCAAGACGAATGGGCAGCAATGCCTCAACAACTCATTGACACCCTCATTCTCAGCTTGGGCAGACGCTGTGAACCTGCCTAGCAGTCAGGGGAGATCATATCCCCTATTAAAGACCGGATGTTTCTTGCTGGACACCCATCACAGGGATGTTTCGGTCTTCAGTCGCATTGAGCTCCATGCTACTTTTTCAATAAAGCTTCTTTTTATCCCTCTGATTTCTCTTTTAGTAAGTGTTGCTTACACTACTCATGTCCTTTCGTATTGGGGATCTTACGGTATTAAATGCGTTGATTTGGAAAGCTTTTGTACAAAGTTATATTGAAAAAACCGTCTCGTCCTTAATTTTTGCACACTAGTGTATTAACACGATACGCTGTATTCCAAATCTTTCATAATTAGACATCACAGTTTCTTTTAAAATTTAATAAATCTCAGGTACCACACGATCACTCTTAAGTTTTACAGACGATTTATGTTTGAAATCACTTTTATGCCTAATACTACAACACATGAACAATATTTGCTCTCTTATTTCAATACTTTCTTGCAACGTGGGACCATGTGAAAAAATGGACTTTGACTTTACACCAGGCAATCGAGACCAGGCGATCAATGCTTGTGAAATGCCAAATCAAACATATTCACATGCGCTTGTAACTGCTTATAAGTGTGTTAATAAAACAGCAGCACATTATTCCAGTACCGGAATAAAAATTTGTTTAATAGGAGCAACTTGAGATTTTGCTATTAACAATTTTACGCACACAGGAGAATGAAGAGACGATTTAAAATAAATAACTGCAATATAACCATTTTTCGCTGCATCGCAGCACCCATGTAATTGAATATTTAAGGGGCTGGATAAAAAAGACATTTCTAGAAGGACGAACTGAATTTAAATCTGAAATTGCATTATACATAGTTTTCCACTTTTTCTCGATTGTCCTCAAACTGTGTACCAGTTTGAATTTCCAGAGATCTTGAAGAATTTTAGTTAATATGACAAAAGGTGCAATCTAACCAAAGAACCCATCACAACATAGTACGTTTTGTCGGGATGTCTTGCTGGAATGTTGTGCTTTCAGGGGTATTTGTACACGGTTGCAAAAACTTTGAATTAATAGCTTCTTCATTAATTCAGAAATTAAAATTATTTTCTCATTTACCCTTTTTTCTATGTTACCAATATTTATTGCTTAATAAACAAAAAACAAATAACTATATTTACAGAATCATTCGAAATCTCCTTATTAGGTTATTTCAGTGTGAGCAAAAACATATGCGAAGAAACACCACATATTGGTGCTACAGAGCATCATTTGGCAGAAAATTACTGCATTATGTTATATCTCTAGTTAGTGTTTTTTTTACTCTAGGATTACCTCAAGACTTTCATATACATGTTTCTCGTAGAAAATGACTCTGATTTCGTTATAAAAATCGTTAAGGAACTGACTGTGTTTCCAATATTCATGCAAGGGATGTTATAAGTTGTGTGCTGTTGGTGGTAGGAACTTCAAGTAGATTGTGTAAACGTTTACCACACTTTACTATAATAATTTAAAGATATAGCTTATGAAGATAATATTGATTTTCTATTTTTCTGTATTAGCTCTTATTACTGCCAACCCCTCCAGGTACTTTATATAAAATTTTGACTTTTATATAAAGTACCTGGAATAATTTTTTAAATGTGTCACGTGACTGAAATTTTGCAGTCTAAAGTTTGCAGATTCATTCCTTAAACTAGAACAAGGGTACGAACAAGAATTTTAATAGTGTGTTTGTCTTAAAATATTCTGCATTCCATATTAAAGTGAAAAATTGTACAAAAGTTTAGTAAGTTTTAGTAAAACCGTTTTATAATAAATAAATATTTTTATTGATTCAATAGTACGCTTATAAACTTCAATAGTACGCTTCCCTTTAGCTTATCAAGGTATGAATTTAAAGACAGAATTGAAACATTATGCATGGTGTTTATAGCCTCGACTTTAAATATTCTAATTCCCTATTTAAAATATTAGCAAACTCATAAATTGCATGAGTTTTGTTCTTTTTCAGGTAAACTCTCATAGCTCATTTCTGGGAGCTCCCAGATAAATGTTATCTACGGAAGAAAAAGATTACCTAGAGATTCTGTATTTAGACAGCGCATTTAAATTAAACAATTAATCTAAATGTTAAAAGTTTTTCGAAGGAACTCTGAATAGTATTCACAAAATCAACGAATTAGAGGAGCGACTTCAGTCATCGTGATAGGAGGAATGACATTATTGTGGTCAGTATCAAAAGAATATTTAACAAACGAATGGCTTGCCTCTTTATGCATGTCGTGCAAAGTCTTCAGATCTTCTAGGTACTGTACCCTCTTCTGAAGTTTGTTGTTGGTATCTCGAAGCTCGCTCAGCTGTTCCATGAGTTTGCAGAGATTGTCCAGATGATCCAGTCCTACTTTACTGGGGCCAGGTACTTGAGTTTTACTCTTAATAGACACGGAGTCAGCCGATCTGTGATGTTCCGAAGGTTCTTTGGCAGGAAGAGACATGACAAACTCGATGAAAGCCTTCTCAGACTTCAGAGCCTCGTCCATCGAAGCCCTGATGAAAACAAAAAATAGAAATTCACAGTTATTTGGTATCATAATAGCTTCTATTCAGGCGGTATCATAATAGCTAAAATAGTATAGATATCATTTAGATTGAACATTAAAAATTATTTTACGTTGATTAGCATAAAGGAACAATTAAAAATACCATGGCTTAAAAATGCGAAGACTAGGAAATTTCTGAAATGACGAGTAGTTTTATAAAATTTAAGAATATTTACTTATTACGAGCTTTAAAGAACTTTGTATGACATGCTTTAAACGTACTGTATGCGAGAAATATCTTTCATCGGAAAATACACGAGCACAGAGGGAAAATCCTTGAAATAAGGTATAATATTCACTTTCGTATAGGGTGTAGTAATATTTTTGTATAGAGACAAAGTATTTCAATATGAGCTATAGTCATCTTTCATAGCAATGTGAGATGGACAGTTATAGAGTCATTAGGTTAATTGGAAGCAGAAAAGATGAAAAATATGCAACCGCCTTCGCCGGGAATCGAACCACGGACCTCTGAAATACCGGCTCAGTGTGCAGGAACCACTACACCACGAAGGCACGCTAGGGAAGTGGGAGAAATACCTTATACAGTGACATTCACGATGACGGCTGTTTACGATGACGGCTGTGTTAGGACATTAAAGATTAATGACATTATTTCTTTGACACATGTTCAAGCTCTTATTGATATCGGCTGGTACTTTGAGGATAGAAACATATCTTCCTCGACCGTAAAAAACATGTTTAGTCTGATTTAAAAGCAGTAATCAGGCTGTGATTCAATGCACACCTGCTCTTAGAGATGTTATTACATTATCGAGAGGTATCGGTTTATAATATTCATATTTCTCCCTAATGGGCCAACATTCTTTCAAGATATCTTTTCCATAAACTTTTAACACCGGGGTTTGTATTATTTCAGTATATGAGGTTTTAGGTGTCCACTTAAAAGAACGCTATTGCACTCATACATGTAATTTGTATCGTAGAAATGCTTTTGAGATATATAACCTTGGCAACAGCAGATTTTTTTGGTGTTCCCTATACTTTTATCTGTACCTGCATATTCAGTAACACATGATAACACTTCATAGACAATGTGTAGATTTACTGACGAAGAGTACGAACCTTCAACAATCTTCAGTCCATTTCCACTACTATTTGCCCAGTTCAGCTTCTCACTTTCCTGTGACAGTAGATGAGAGTTACGTAAAATTATTGGACTTTAGAATAAAAATCACCTTCTTGAAGCCTTACACATGCATTAAAAACTGATATAATACAAATGGTAGGTACTATCAGAGCGAATCTTAGTCAATCCCAGATATAAGCTTTCCTCTTACTTGAAGTTAATCAAACGTAGTAATTTAACAGTAGACTCTTAACCACAAAACTTGCATGTCTGAACTTTCTAGAGTCTAGACGATGAATCTATGCTTAAACTAATTCTAAAATCTATAAACAATAGAAGCTTACAATGTGTCATCATGTCACGTCTAAATGACAGCAGTGCGTATTCGAACCGATGGATAGTACTCCTTTGTAGCTCGCTTAGGAAATGCTGTATCGAGATATCTCAGACAAATAAGGCTATTCCGAATTGATTTATTCTTAGAACATAAAATAACGATCCATTATTATTTATTTAACTTCTATGGCGTTTTTGCTTAAGCTTACATATCGGCTTTATTTATCGCTTTAACGTCATGTTCTTTTCTCTAACAAAGAAGACCCATAAAATACTGATCAATATCCACGTGGCAGACATTGAGCTCCAAGACATTGCTCAGCGCGAAGTAGTATGAGGGAAGTAAGGTAAATGGTCATTTCAGATTTAATTTAATACCCGAATTCAGTTATATATTACCAGAAATACAGTTTAAGTAAAAACATTATATAAAATATTGCAAAAGAAAAAGTTTCATGTAAATATTTAATTAACTAAAACAGATTAGTGTAGACAGATGTGTTAATTTTCCCTCAAAGTCGCGCGCATGGGCAATGCCACATGCTTTGGTAAAATGACATAGGTGTTTTTCTTCCCGCACAAACAGTCGATGGCAGAACACCAGCACTCAAAACTTTCGTGGTTATCTAATGAATGAATTTTTATATTTCTTAAGCGCTCAGCCATGCGTCTTAATCGCGCAGCTGTGAGGAAAGTTAATGAAAATTTTGATAGTCAAATTGTAAGAGACGCGAGAATCAAGAAGACAGTATTTTCTTACCTTGGGGAAGTTTCTTCAGATTTCTGTGCATGAGACAAAGAATCATGTCCTCCGGAATGCATATTTTGATCACTGTGGTCAGCGAACGCAGAAAGAGAACTCGCCGAGGATGAATCCAAAGGATCCTGAGAATGAGTCCGAGACACTGAATTCTGGTGACTGTTGCTACTTATTTGCTTCGAGAATTGTTCGCTCGAGTTTTCCATGTCATTAAGTTGTAGCTCTCGTCCTCCTTTCTCAATCTTATCTCTTGGAACTGAGGCAGAAGGAGAAGAAAAGATAAGTTTGGAGGTTGAAATTCTAAAAATACTAATTGATTTACATTAACACGTCCCAAAGAAATGTAAGTCTTTGCACCCTAAATCTAATGATAACCCCCCCCCCGCGCAAAAAAATATAAATATCTGATGTGGACACCACATAACTTTCTTGTATGGCCTATTAAATTATACACAGTTTTATGCTGCATTTCATACTTATTCATTAGAGATACATTTTTCGTTCAATTAATTCAGTTCTCGTTCAGGGCTAAGCAAAAATTCATAAAAACTCAATGCATCTTCATTAAAAATTGTAAAGCATAGAAAAATAAAACACCAAATATAGTCAAAAACGGTTTTAAAAAAATTTTATAATTTAAAATTAGAGTTTGTACGCGAAAACAAGCAATTCGGCCAGCAGGCAGAAAAACAGATTTTTCGCTGCATAAAAGTTTACTTTTGGTCCTACTCAGCAAAAAGACACTAAATTGGTGCCAAACTGACTTAATTCTCTATTCTACGAGTTTCAAATGTAAACAAATAGCGGCACCAATTAAGCATTTTAGTTTTTTATAATTTTTCAACTATTGCATACAGAGTAACTATAAAGGCATAAAAAATTTAACTGGAACAAAAGAAAAACATAATTCAATCTTTTTTAAAGCCAAAAAATGCACATTTAAAAACCTGAGCTCAACTAATCGGGTATCATCGGGTCGGGTAATCGGTCAACTAATCGGGTATATCGGGGTGGGTGTATGATATATATATATATATATATATATATATATATAATTAACACAAATATGAAAGAATCAACTAATTTCCCGTCAATAAAAATAATTACTTAGTTTGTTGGTTACATTTTCGCTTTTACCTATTCCATTTTAATAATTACTTTTAAAATTTTAATAATTCCGTTTTAAATATGTTAATTCAATTCATAGAATTCTAGCTACTGTTTTCAAAGGAGATAATATATTCAATAATCTACTAGAATATAAAATTATATATATACAACGTTTGGTGCGGCCGATCGCAACTGAAAAGAGAGGTGCACAACTACATGTTATATCAGTCCCATATACAAAATGTCAATGTTTTAAGGCTACTTGTTTGTAACTTATGCGAGATACATACATACGTACGCACAGAATTCATGAAAAATTTTTTCTGAATCCATTTTAAATCCACTTGCAGTCCGTTTTGGGAAGTCCTTTATTCTCTCTGTCCGGACAGATGTTACTCGAAAACGTCGTTCAAGTGGATTCGAGAGCAGTCAAAATGTATATCTTTGTTGAAATAAGATACCCGAAATGTTTGGCGTTTACAATGCTTCCTTTACTTCGTACAAGGAAGTAAAAAGGGAAAATACACTGGTGGACAAATGCTAAAGATGTATGTCAGTAGCAGTGATAGCAACCAGAAAATAGAAGGCAGGAGAATCTGGAAATAAGTATAAGTGCTGTATACAGTAAGGTATGTTGTGCGTATGCAAATTTTGGATTGCTGAAGTTGTTCGTCAAGTAGAAGCGTTCATAAGAGATATACAGGATTTGACGGGTATTTACCGTTGTTGTTCAAAAACAAAATTTAACGGGAAAGAATCAATTGACGAATTTGGAATTTTCAGTATGTCTTCTCGTCATCACTGAGATGATTTTATGTGTGGCCAAAATATTGTCAAGATTTGGATAAGGGCGAAAAATAACAGATGTTGTTAGGGTGTTCCATGTCAGCCACAGCGTTGTTTTAAAGCTTTGGAAATGATTTCAAACAAATAGAATATATAGCAAACATCACAAAATCACGGGGAAGGTCGGGTCCGCAGTACGATGCCTGTAGAAGATATTTACATAGTGCCATCGTCAAGAAAGAGATGGCACAGCACAGCTACTGAATAGCAAATTAGTTACTTGCAAGCAAATCTTCCGAAAACTGTAGCCAGACGATTGCATCAAGGAGGGCTATACGCCTGTAGTCCTACTGTATGCATTCCATTGTCTAGACGTCATCGATCCGCCGGTTTGCAATGGTGTCCGGAGGGAAGACTGCTGGACGCAACCGGAGGGAAGACGGCTGGGCTTGTGCACTATTCTCAGATGAAAGTTGGTTCAGTCTGTCGTCTGATTGGGGAGTTCAACTGATGTGGTGTAAGAATGGTACTGCTATAGTCCGGCAAACATACAGGGAAGTGACCGATAGCCTACATGTAGTGTCATGGTCTAGGCTGGGATCAGGCTGGGATAATGATCAATGGCCGCACGTCGCTCTATGTGCTTCCATCTGGGACTGAGACTAGCCAACGTTACATTAATGATATTCTGATGACTCATGTTCGCATGTTCCGTGGTGCTATCGGTGATAAACATGTTTTCAATGGACGACAACGCTACATGTCATTCAACAACAGCTGTCCAGGAGTGTCTAAAAAGCGAGGATATTCAACGCCTTGTATGGGCAGCACATGTTCCAGATCTTTATCCTACTGAAAATGTTTGGGATGGTTTGTGGAGACGTCTTGCTGGTCGACAATGCCCTCCAGTAAACAAGGACACCCTCATCGGTTTCACTAACAGAGAAATGGGTTAAATTGGCCAGATAGCTGTTGGATAATGTTGTGCAAAGAATGACAAGGCTAGTGGAATCATACATAGCCCTATGTGGTGGCCATATCCCGTTTTGTTATTTTACCCCAGAATGCCTGCGGACGGTAACTGCATTTTTTTTCACTTCTACGTATTCAGCACAAAATGTCGATTTTGTTCCTTCAAAGCCTTCTGGATAGCCTTCTTTTATTATTATAGCCTAATATTCTGGCATTATTTTATTTCTCTTGGCATCCAACCACACTTACTTTTGTACTCGCTATATAGCCGTTTGTTATCCGTCCTTAGCAATTGCCCACTAGTATATGTCCTTCTTGATATGCCAAAAAAGTCTGAAAGGTCTCGAATTTTAACGCTTGTTAAGTTTTTATGCTCTGGTAGACATCACAGTCTACCAGTCTGCTGTTGCACTCACGCCTGCTAACCTTTGTTTTATCCTTTTAAGCTTAATTACAAAGCATCGTTATCTACTTCTCACTTATGCCACATACAGTTCAACCAAAAAAAAAAAAAAAAAAAGTCACAAAATTTTTGAAAGCTATATAGCAACCTATGCTTAGAATTCCCCGATGCAATGTTAAGTGTTGGCATACATTTATATACCTTTTTTTCAGTCTTTTCACAGTTTATCATATTAGTTTTCAGCTTTCTTTCTTCTTTCTATAAAAAATTTTTCTTTTAGCGCAAAAAAGTTGTTTTCACCTTTTTATTATTAACTTTATTTAGTAATATCACATTTTTCGCACTTATGTCACATAAAATTTAATTCAACAACAAAATCACAAAATATTTAAAAGCATCATATCTTTAGAAGTCTCGACAGTGTGTTAGAGGTTATCATGCATATTTTTATACTGTGAATTAAAGCTCAAAGGTAAATAAATTACATTTTTCCGAATGACCATAGTCCCACGCGCTGTATATAAAAATGTTCAAAATTCGGGTTTCCAGGTGCACACGTTCGACTGGATGGCTAAGGTATTTAAAATTTGATGGCTCTAGGTATCGTCGTTTTTCAAGTGGGAAAAACATACGTACAATGCAGATTCTTCATGATTTAATTTCTTTAAAAATAGTACAGATCGATAATGTTTGGTGGCAAAAATTTGAAAAGTGATAGTCCGTTTATAGTGAACCAATGTAAAATCCCATTTCGAGACTGCTTTTGGGGAAAAATGTTTCATAAATTAAATAGAATTTTGAAAAAATTAATTTTATTCACAATCAGATTTTTAACATACAGAAATATGTTACTTATTTCGACTCTCAAATGGCTTTTATTTTACACAATTTCAATTACTGTGAAAAAACTATATCATCCTGTTTAAGAGAGATCAATTTCTTTATGTCTGGTCTTATTTCACTTAGGTTTGACCGTAAATTAGAATCCCGTTTAATTTTATTCTGCATTTATTTTTGAAATTTAACATGGAAAAAAATTCTTGTTCACAGAAATAGGTTGTGCTAAAAGGCAATAAAAATTTAATAGCTTTATTTGAATGATTTAAAATTCTTTTTTCTGTTCGGCCAAAATTAACAAGCGTGTTATTTTTGAAATCTTCAGTTAGAATTCAGTCACAAGAAGTTTCTATCAATTGTTCTTTTTCTTCACAGGATAAAATTTCTAACAAAATGGATTTCTAATCCAATTTTCGTTTCATAATCTTCTTTAGAAAGAAAGATAGAAAACTTTCTAAAAGATGTAAAAAGCTTCTAAAAGATGTAGAATTGGATATTATTATCCAAATCTTTGATTATTAGCTCGAGTTTTTATCGTTGCATTTATTTTATTTCTAATGGTAAACAAATTAACACTTTGTTCTTGTAATCCTAAATTTAATTCATTTAACTTTCCAAAAATATCATCTAAATATGCTAAAAGCACCAGCCATAATTCACTAAATAAAAATTCAAATTTTGAATCGCAGAGGAGAATTTGAATTTCTGATTGAAGTTCAAAAAGACGATTTAAAACTTTTCCTCTGGATAACCCACCTTACTTCGGAATATAACAAAAGCGTTTCATGTTCATTGCCCATCTCTTTGTAGAGAAATAACGCCGGAACGTTTATCTGTTAAAGCCCATGCTCTGTCAGTGCATACGGCAATACTTTTATTCCAAGGAATATCATTCTCAGACATGAAATTGTCAATTACTTTGAAAATTTCATTTGCAGTTGCTCTATTATGAAGAGATACACAAAATAAATGCTTTTTGGCAATTCGTTTATTTTCTTCGAAACGTATGTAAACTAATAATTGAACAGAGTTCATTAGTTCATTACTTCCGTACTTTCTTCCAATTGCGATGCGAAATACTCATTGTGTTTTATTTTTTGAATGTCTTTTTTATGGAATTTGCTATTTCATGAATTCGTCATGAATAC